ATTTATGAAGATTTCAATTAGAATCTATTTTATTTCTCTCTTTCTAAGCTTCTAACACAACATGCAATCAGAGCTATCTTTATAGAATTAAAATCAGGACAAATATTTATTCTAAAGTATTTGTTATAATTAGTTCATCAGAGCACTAATACTATTGATAATCTAAAATTTAGAAAGTTTTGTTATATATATATATATAAAATACATTATCTCATATGTTACCAGTTTTTATTTTTTTAATTTACCCTACAAAATTCTTAAGTTATTTGGGATAAAGTCCGAGTCTTTTTCCATCTCTGTATTCTTGTTTTTTTAAGATTTTATTTTTAAGTAATCTCTACACCCAACATGGGGCTTGAACTCACAACTCCGAGATCAAGAGTCACACTTTCCACCGACCAAGCCAGCCAGGTGCCCCACCATCTCTGTGTTCTTCACATCAACAAATAGAGTCCCTTGTATGTAGTAGCTGTTCAAAAATATTTTTTGAGCTTGAATAATCTTTATAATTTTTAGGTATAATGAGATTTTATTCATACTATTTCATGTAATAGTATACTTTATTCATCACTCTAAATTTAATCTTTAAAAATGTCTTCATTCTGTCAAATAAAAAGGCAATGCTAATCATTTTTCCTCACTAATGAGTTTAAGGAACTTTTTTTTCATTCAATGTTATTTTACTTCCAGTTCACTAAGCAGTATCATAGTTCCAGGAATTGGTGACTAAAATTTCCTTTGCAAACACCAAACATAATTCTTTTTTTTTTTTTAAAGATTTTTTTATTTATTTGAGAGAGAGAATGAGATAGAGAGAGAGCATGAGAGGGGCAGGGTCAGAGGGAGAAGCAGACTCCCTGCCGAGCAGGGAGCCCAATGCGGGACTCGATCCCGGGACTCCAGGATCATGACCTGAGCCAAAGGCAGTCGCTTAACCAACTGAGCCACCCAGGTGCCCCAATTCTTTTTCTTTTTAACACTCACTTTTCAGATTTTATTCATAACCATTGAATATGTGTATGACAACGCAAATACATTATTACTAGAAAGATAATTTAAATAAACAACAGACACAGTATAAATAACTGCAACACAATGATATTGCTTAATAAGTCAAAGCATAATCTTTTATGACATTTTTGCAAAAAAAATGGATATTTTTATGGGGTACTTTATATAATAATTTTAATTTTTAAAAAGATTTATTTATTTATTTATTTATTTGGGAGGGGCAGAGGGAGAGAGAGAATCCCAAGTAGACTCCCAGTTGAGCCCCAGTCGGAGCTCGATCCCACAACCCTGAGATCATGACCTGAGCCGAAATCAAGAGTCAGACACTTAACTGACTGAGCCACCCAGGCGCCCCTATAATATTTAACTTCAAAGGAGGTAATATTGTTATCAAGGCAACAATGCCCCCGCCAAATCCATGTTTACCCAGAACCTCAGAATATAAACTATTTTGAAAATGAGGTTTTTGTAGATGTAATTAGTTAAGATGGAAACATGTTATGGAAAAGTATGCACAAGCAGGGGAGCGGCAGGCAGAGGGAGAAGCAGGGTCTCCGTTGAGCAAGGAGCCCAATGAGGGACTTGATCCCAGGACCCTGGCATCATGACCTGAGCCGAAGACAGACGCTTAACTACCTGAGCTACCCAGGCATCCCACCAAACATAATTCTTAAAAAAAAAACCCAAATATCCTCAAATAACAAATTCCTAATAATTACAAAATTCTATATAAAAGCTTAGAAGTTCCCTGACTTATACTAAAAAATTAACCTTTAAAAAAGTAAGCAGAAATATATCCTAACTTTTTCTTAGTGGCTATTTAGAAACATTTCCAGCTTATTTGTTGGGCCCTATACTAAGATATATGAAGGGACCAAGAACCCAATGATCAGACTGCCATCCAATTAATGCAAATTGCTCCTCATTATAAAGACTTTGGGTACAAAGTAAGTTAAGGCCAGGGAAGATAGCTTGAATCAGACAGAAGGTGAGAACAATTGGCATCTAGGAAAGACTCAGAAATAAAGTTGGTCAAGTAATAATGGTCAGATTACAGAAAGTCTTGGAAACTAGAAAGAGGAATTGACATCTTATGTGGTAAGAAATGAAGACTGTTGTAGTTTTTGAGCAGAGTAGTGCATGTTAACAGAAGAGGTAATAAGGCAGAGGGTGTAGTCTCCAGAGTCAGTGCCTGCTTTGAATCCTGATTCCATCACTAATTAGCTGGGTATTCCTGGGAAAGACAGGTAACTCTTCTAAGTACAGGCATCCTAGGGCAATAACAACATTCAGCTCTTAGAGTTATTATGAACATGGGATTAAAAATGATAGGTGAAGCACTTAACGTAATGCCTGGCCCATAGTAACAACACAAGGAATGCTCTTCGCACTAAATGAACATGATCAAAAGATGTAGGCTCATAGGAGGCTACCAGGAACTGGAAAGTAGCAATGGAAATTTAGAAGAATAAGACTCATTTGAAAGAAGACTTGGTGATTGTCAAACTGTAAGATTTGAAAGAAAGAAAGAAAGAAAGAAACAAAGAAACAAAGAAGGAAAGAGAGAGAAATGTATTATTTACTTTGGGTACCCCTTCTTATGCATGGAGAATTTTCCACTGTACGAAAGAGCTTTGATGAGAAGCAGGAGCCCCATCTCCCATAAAGCCGAAGACAGATATTCATCCTCACTGTCCTTGGAAGTTTAGGGCCCAGGATTGCCCTAAAGCTAGTAAAATAGATACTTGAACCTAGGATTTAAAGTCCAAGGCAGGGGGTGCCTGGGTGGCTCAGATGGTTAAGTGTCTGCCTTAGGCTCAGGTCATGATCCTGGGGTCCTGGGATCGAGTCCCGCATTGGGCTCCCTGCTCCTTGGGGAGCCTGCTTCTCCCTCTGCCCCTCTCTCTCTCTGTCTCTCATGAATAAATAAATAAAACCTTTAAAAAAAAATAAAATCCAAGGCAGGCATTAGAAAGAAGGTGCAGTGGTTATAGTTCCTGCCTATTTCTCCACGGCCTTCCTTATCTGCTTAAATGGGCCAGGGCTGGTGTCCATTCATGCTACTGAAAAATGCTGAATTTCAGTTCCAAGTCCTCAAGTCTGAGAGACATGGTCAGAGAAGACCTGAACACACATAGTTTGAGATGAAAGCTGAACGACAAATAGATCTTTCACACAAGTTGAAAATACGAGAATGAAAGCAACACAAGAGTACAAGCAACACAGAAATAACAAAGCCTTAAAAAAGAGAAGGAAAGAAGGAGAGGGAGAAGTGCTAGTAAGGACTACAAAGCTGAGCACCAGTTCCAGGCATATAGTAAATACTTAATAAGTATTTGCAGAATGATTACCTGGACTGTGGCTCTCCAGAAATTTCAAATATTTATACTATGACTCTCATCAGCTATTTAACTTTACATATTTCTGTACCATTCAGTGATCAAGCCTATATTTGGAACTTAAGTATCTATAAATACATACTTAGCACCATGTTATGTTATATGGGATAATATCTACATCTTTGTCACCATGAAGCTAAGAGTTAAATTACAATAAAACTCTTTTGATTAGCGCTCCTATTTTTATATCCATTAAGGATATCACATGGAAAAGAAATCTTTAGATGTGAATAATGCATTGAGGGCTTCAGTCCTACAAATAATTCAAGAGATGGCAAAGGACAACCTTCATTCATATGGCAAATATTTATTGATGCTGTCTACGTGCAAGGCACTGTTCTAGGCTCTGTGGGATTTATTGTTGAAAAAAGCAAGTTTCTTGCTTTCCAGAGCCTACCTGGGGGGAGGAAAGAAGTAGATAGATCAGGTGCTATGAAGAAACATAAGCAGAGGAATGAGATACAAAGAGGTACGCACAAGATTAGAAAGCGATAGACAGGTGATAACTGGCCAATGGGAATCTTTTTTGGTTAAACTGATGTTTGGGGATCTGAGTGAATAATTTCTGCTAGCCATTCCAACATCAGGGCACAGAACATTCCAGTGAGAGGGGACAGCTAATGTAATATCCCCGATGTGGGATAATGTTTGGCTTGTTACATGAACAAGGAGGCCACTGGGGCTGTAACAGAAAGAGTGAGGGGAGAAGTAGAATGAGTTGAGCTCAGAGATGTAGTCCCAAGTCAGAGAGGTGCTGTCAGGGATGGAAGGCTATTAGTACTAGTAATTCAGAGAGAAGGGAGATCAATGTATACTGAGAGATAACACAGAAAGCTTCTAGCACACTACCTGGCACTGAGGAGGAACTATAGATGGTGTTTTATTACTATTATTGTTGTTAGTAGTAACAACTGTTGCAAGAACAGTACAAAGAATTCCCAGAGACCCTTGGCCCAGATTTTCCAAATGTGGATGTTTTACATTTGCTTTCGATGTATGTGGTATGTATACTTTTCTCCCCTCCGAACTGTTTAAGATTAAGTTGTAGAAATGATGCCCTTGTATCCTAAATACTTCAGTGTATCTTTCTCAAAACAAGAAACCCTGTTACGAAACCACAAAACAATCTTCAAAATCTGGAAGTTAACATTTATACAGTGCTGTTATCTAATCTACAGACTTTATTTTGGATCTTATTGTTTGTTCCTATTATGTCCCTTACAGCAGAAGAAATTCAAGCTGATGCACTGCCCTGTCTTTATTTGTATCAGTGTGGACTCATGAATACTTATTGATTTAATAAATGATAATCTTTTATCATTATTTATTTTGGTGTTGAAATTATCCCAGATTTGGACAGTGGTGGTGCCTACAAACGGCCTCTTCTGTCCCTTGAACTGTCTCCATTATTCTTTGAGCACTTCCTTACTTTCTGGCACTATAAGATGTTCTGCGACTACCTGGTATTTTTCCAGTCCTGGAACCAGCCATTTCTCTAAAGAGCTTTTTGGCCATGTGTGTTACTAATTAAAATTCCTTCCCTCCCTCTGCCCTGTTTCCCCACCCCCCCGCCAAAAGATTATTTAATACCTTTTGTTGAATCCATTCCTCCAACTGCAAATAATGTTCCAACCGTTGACTTTCTAGGTTTTGTCCGAGGGCTTTGTAACATGGGTCGTCTCTCTGGTAATAAATGGTACTTCATTGCTTCCATAATAAGTTTCTGACATTCTATATCATCCCGAAAAAGTGCATTATTTTCCATGTCTGCCAGGAACTAGAAAAGAATAGTGAGTATGTATGCTGAATGAGCAAGAAAATAGTAATTAAAAGAAGACATAGTTTACAAATGGAAAGCGTCTCATTTAAAAAAAAAAATCCAAGTCTGGACACCTATTTTTAACTAAAATATGCAATATTTACAAGATTTACATTTTAAATTTCATTGAAAAATATAAACTGAAGAGGATCAGTGGTATACTCTGAAACCTGAAATAGTGCTTATCTCTGGGGAGTAGAGAAATGGTGCTTCTTGAATGATCTTTTTTACTGCTTTTCTATATTGTCTAGATTTTCTACAATAAGTCATTTTTACTTTTTAAATTAGAAATGATTTTAATTGAAAAAGAGTAATTATAAATAAAAGTTGACTAATTAGACTGCATTTACCTGACCTATCTAAACAGAGCTCAAAGAACAACAGCAGGGGTGCCTGGGTGACTCAGTGGTTAAGCATCTGACTCTTGATTTTGGCTCAGGTCATGATCACAACAGAGTCATGAGATCAAGCTTTGAGATGGGCTCTGTGCTGGGCGGGGAGTCTGCTTGAGATTCTCTCTCCCCCTTTCCGCCTGCCCCTCCCCACCTCTAAAAAATAAAAAAACAACAACAGCAAAAACTTACCAGTTTCTTAAGGGGCAAAGAACTCTAAATGATGATTATCCTGAAAGAATTTAAATCCCTTGTGCTTCACTGAATCCGATTTTTAAAATTTATATAATTTTATGCAAAAGTATAGATATGGTTTCATCCTGCCTTTTAAAAAGTTATTTTCTTGTCTTACCAGATAAAGGGCTAGTATCCAAAATCTATAAAGAACTTATCAAACTCAACACCCAAAGAACAAATAATCCAATCAAGAAATGGGCAGAAGACATGAACAGACATTTCTCCACAGAAGACATACAAATGGCCAACAAACACATGAAAAAATGCTCAACACCACTTGGTATCAGAGGGAAGTACAAATCAAAACCACAATAAGATACCACCTCACACTGGTCAGAATGGCTAAAATTAACAAGTCAGGAAATAACAGATGTTGGCGAAGATGCAGAGAAAGGGGAACCCTCCTACACTGTTGGTGGGAATGCAAGCTGGTGCAGCCAGTCTGGAAAACTGTATGGAGGTTCCTCAAAAAGTTGAAAATAGAGCTACCCTATGACCCAGCTATTGCACTACTAGGTATTTACCCCAAAGATACAAATGTAGTGACCCAAAGGAGCACCTGCACCCCAATGTTTATAGCAGCAATGTCCACAATAGCCAAACTATGGAAAGAGCCCAGATGTCCATCAACAGATGAATGGATAAAGAAGATATGGCATATACATACAATGGAATATTACTCAGTCACCAAAAAAAAAAAAGAAATCTTGCCATTTGCCACGATGTGGATGGAACTAGAGAGTATTATGCTAAGTGAAATAAGTCATCAGAGAAAGACAATTATCATATGATCTCGCTCATATGTAGAATATAAGAAACAAGACAGAGAATCATAGGGGAAGGGAGGGAAAAATAAAACAAGACAAAATCAGAGAGGGGGACAAACCATAAGAGACTCTTAATCATAGGAAACAAACTGAGGGTTGCTGGAGGGGAGTGGAGTGGGGGGATGGGGTAACTGGGTGATGGACATTAAGGAGGGCACATGATGTAATGAGCACTGGGTATTATATAAGACTGATGAATCACTGAACTCCGAAACTAATAATATATTATGTTAAATAAAAAATACAAAAAAAAAAAAGAATTTCTTTTCCTTTTGTGCTTGTTTCTCCATCCACCTCCCTACCTCTTTTTGCTGTATTTCTTTTATTCAGGTTATTGATCCATGTGAAATTAATTTATAAATAGAGTATGAGCTGAGGAATATTTTAATTTCCTTCAAGGTAGATGGCCAATTCTGTACCAGCACCATTTATTAAACAATCTCCTCCATTTCCAAGTGAATTGAACTTTGGTTATATATCGTATTCTTATAAATACATCTCAGGATACAGAAGACCTGTTTTCTGACTATTCTTTTCCATTGACCTTTTTGTCTATTCCTATTCTAATACCACATTTTTTAGTGTCTTGATAGCATATTCTGATTTTTAAAAAGATTTTATTTATTTGTCAGAGAGTGAGCGAGTGCACGTGTACAAGCAGGGGGTGCAGCTGGCAGAGGGAGAAGCAGGCTCCCCTCTGACAGGGAGCCCGATGTGGGACTGGATCCCAGGATCCTGGGATCATGACCTGAGCTGAAGGCAGATGCTTAACCATCTGAGCCAGCCAGGCATCCCAGCATATTCTGATTTTTTTATAGAAATCTATCCTGACTGTTCATTTTCATAGTCTTCTTGGCTATTTTTGAGGCTTTGCTTTCCATATAAGCTAAAGATAAATTTATCTAATTCCCTTTCACCAACTTGATCCTGTTGGAATGCTAATATGAACTGCATTAAATTATTTATTAATTTCGGAATTTATATTTTTATGATATTACGTCTTTCTTTTCAGGAAGCCTTTCCATTTATATACCTTTCTTCATATAGGTTATATGCCTTTCTTTTATTAAATAAACATATTTAATATACATATTACACATTTTATTATTTTTATTGCTATTGGGAATGGATTTTTAAATTTTCATTTTGCCCATATTTTGGAGAGAAAAATCTTTTGATTATTGTATACCTATAATCTACTATTTTACCACATTCCTTTATAAAACTATAGTTATTAGGCATACAATCATAATCACCACCAAAGAGGGATATAGTTGACATCTCTTTCTAATGTGTATGCCAATTACTTCATTTTTATTTTATTTTTTATTTTATTATTAGAACTGCTAAAACATTCAAAGCAATGGTTAAATAATCAGGGTGATACAGAGTACCCATTTCTGGTTTGAATTGATATGGTTTTAGTGTTTGACTAGGATGAAAGTTGCTATAGCAATTAGTAATCCATCTTTATTGTATTTGGGCTCTTTTCTTTTCTCCCTATTTTACTTCAGAGTTTTAAAACTAAGAATGGTTCCTACATTTTTTCCAAACGCCTTTTATACACCTAGTGATATGATCATATGGCTTTTTCTCTTTTAAGTTACTGATATAATAATTATCTTGACAGATTTCCTGATAATCATTCTTACATTCCTGGAAAAAATATTCCCAGTCATAGTGTATCATTCTTTTGATATACTGCAGGATCATATTTGATAATATAAGGTATATTTTACATATCATATAATTCACCATTTGAAGTATACAATTCAGTGGTTTTTAGCAAATTTGCCAAGTTGTGCAACCATTACCATAAACAGCTTTGGAACATTTTCATCACCCCACCTAGATCTCACGTGCAGTTTGCTGTTTAATCTGTGTTCCCATCTCCTGTCCCATGTGCTTATCTGTCTCTATAGATTTGCGTTTTTTTTTTTTTTTGATGTTTGATATAAAGTCATATAATATGTGGTCTCTTGTGTCTTGCTCTTTTCCTTTAGTGTGTTTTTGAGGTTCATCTATGCATGTATCAGTACATCATTTCTTTTATTAAAACATTTTTTAATGGTTTTTTTTTTTAAATGCAGGTATTCTATTTTTTTTTTTCAAAGATTTCATTTATTTACTTGTCAGAGAGAGCGAGCAGCAGGCAGAGGGAGAAGCAGACTCCCCACTCAGCAGCGAGCCCGACGCGGGACTCGATCCCAGGACCCTGGGATCACGACCCGAGTTGAAGGCAGACGCTTAACCGACTGAGCCACCCAGGCGCCCAAAGCAGTTTTTTATTGTAGTTGGCACACAAGGTTACATTAGTTTCAGGTGCACAACATAGTGATTCAACAACTGTATATTATGCTAGGCTCACCTCAAGTGTATGCACACCATCTATCACTGTACAACACTATTACAATACCATTCACTATATTCCCTGTTATAGCTTTTATACCCATGACTTATTTATTCCATACTGGAAGCCTGTCTCTCTCCCTCCTCTTCATCCATTTTGCCAATTCCCCACCCCCACTGCTCTAGCAACCATCAGTTTGTTCTCTGTATTTATGGCTCTGTTTCTTGCTTGGTTTGTTTTTAGATTCCACATAAGAGTTAAATCAATGGTATTTGTCTTTCTCTGTCTGACTTCTTTCACTTAGCACATAATACCTTCTAGGCCTATCCATGTTGGCACAGATGACAAGATCTCATCCATTATTTTTTTAATTATTATTATGTTATGTTAATCACCATACATTACAACATTAGTTTTTGATGTAGTGTTCCATGATTCATTGTTTTCGTACAACACCCAGTGCTCCATGGAGAATGTGCCCTCTTTAATACCCATCGCTGGGCTAACCCAACCCCCACCCCCCTCCCCTCTAGATCTCATCCATTTTTATGGCTGAATAATATTTCTGTGTGTGTGTGTGTGTGTGTATACCACATATTCTTTATCCACTCATCTATTGATGGACACACGGGTTGCGTCCTTATCTTAGCTATTGTAAGTAATGCTGCAATAAACACAGGGGTGTATGTATCTTTTTGAATAAGTGTTGTTTTCTTTGGGTAAATATCCAGCAGTGGAATTATTAGATCATATGGTATTTCTATTTTTAATGTTTTGAAGAACCTCCATACTGTTTTCCACAGTGGCTATGCCAATTTATATTCCCACAAACAGTGCATGAGGGTTCCTTACTACTTCATTTCTTTTTATTGCTAAATAATATTCCATTTATGGATGTACCACATTTTGTCTATCTGTTCACAGTTGATGGATACAGATTATTTCCAGTTTTTGGCTGTTACAAATAAAGCTGCTAAGAACATTTGCATGCAGGTCTTTATGCCAATAAATGTTTTCATTTCTCTTGGGTAGATACCTAGAAATAGAATTGCTGGGTCATATGGTAAATACATGTTAACTTTTTAAGAAACTGCCAAACTGTTTTCCAAGTAGCTGCATCATTTTGTGTTACCACCAGCAATATATGAGGTT